GGACGCTCTAAAAAATTTTCGCATGATATAAAGAATTACTCTAGAGATTTTTCTAAAAATCAAACTAAGTCCGAAATTAAATTGGTATACTTAAACTGAATTGCTTTAACTCGAAAAATACTCGAATTTATACTAATAAAAATCTCTGACTCAATTATAATAATAATCAAGAATTATACCTCCTTTCGAATAGACGAAAAGCTGAAAAATTTGAGAAAACGAAGCATCGAACGATCGAACTCGTCCTCGACAAATTTGCTCATTTTGATACTATTTAACGCAGAAATTCAAACTCCCATAATAAATGCTCGGAACTCCGAAAAATGCGAAATTTGTCCGTATGGAATCGTGCTTGAATTGTCTACACACTTCAACTCGATTCTCGTTAAACCGAGGCCACACGCAACTTTACGGAACCCCGCAAAACGACTTTTTATTCTTCTATTATGCGCACTCGACTTCGAGCTTCTCAAAATAAATGCTCGAAATTTTGAAACGTGAAATAAATTTTACGAACGACTTCTAATGTTCTCGTGCTTTCAAGAAAGCACTCTCGCTAATTTTCAGCACGCCTAACAAGGGTCGACGGTTCCCGAAGTCTAGACATGATAAAAACAATAAAATCACCGCCACTGTCATTTTTCTCTCAACTTCGAGCTACCCAAAATAAATGGTCGGGACCTCAAAATCATAAATCGATGCCACCAACGCACTCTCCGCTTCCCGTACTTTCATAAAAGTATTTTTTGATAATGATCGACTCTGTTTTTGAGTCCCGTCGGTACACCGCAAGTCGGCTAATTAACCAACTCAAAATATAATAAAAATGAAAAAATTATTAAATTCTGCTGCTGTTATAGTTCTCCTTGTCCCGAAACCAGGATCCCGTTTCGGGGGAGGGCCCAATTTGCCTTTAAAAAAAATTTTCACGACAAAACCGGTGGCGCCCCTCCGGCCATGTATGTACCGCATGAAACCGGGGAGGGCCCAACATGCCCGCTTAAAAAAAATCTTCCAGTTCCAGCAAAATTCTCCACCCTTAGTTTGAATTTTTTTTTTTTTTTTGGGAGGGCCGGCGCCTCTCCCATGGGTTGTGTAGTTTCGCCCCTGGAAGCAGCCTAATCGCTCGGAAGAACAAATTTCATTCACGGCTAACAATTTGAACCAGCACAATCTTATATACTGTAAAAGAGTAAGTTGCATGAATTGATAAAACTATTGATGCGCATTTTTCTCAAATGTTGTCAAACAAACCTAGTATTATTATTCATTGGCTCGGATGGGTTTGGGTGCTCCAAATACAGCTGCAAGCCTAGAGGGTCACTGCTCATGGACTTGATAGGAATTATCTGAGATGGTTGTTGCCACTGCTTTGTATCTGTCGGGACCCACATCCCCGCATTTTTGCTAATGCTACTAGCCTCGGGCAGAGAACGAAAGTAACCCGTTATTTCCCACCTCGAATCTGTTACACAAACGAGCTTAAAAACTAAATAACTTGATTTTCCATGATGCCTCAAGATTAAATTCCAAAAAGGATGGTACATAGATTGAATCTTGAATTTGAGAAGGGGACACAAAACCGAGCAGAAGCAAGTTAAAATTTTGGCAGTTAAATTCTTCAAGATACAATCACTTACAATTGTTCTCCTTGCTAAAATACGAACGACAAAGAGCTACAGCTAACGATTTTCCTATTTTCCGAGACAAAGATTCAACCTTTTAATCACTTTCAAACAAGTTACATGAATTAGGAGGTGCTTTTAAAAAACTTACTAGAAAAAAAATGCTATGTTAGCCGAAGAAATACTCGAATATTTACTCCTCTAAATCACTTTCTTCTTCTAGAGAAAAACAATCACATTTGGCAACATACATAACCCAATTAAAAAACAATAAATTCCACACTTACTGTGGGGAAGAGCCTTAGTTAGAGGCTCTGAAACAGGGAGTTTAACCAAAAATGACCTAAGAGAGAACTCTAAATCAGCTTGCTCCACCATAGAATTATAAGACTGGTTCACATCAATCTTGAAAACAAATCTCTCGACCGGCACATTACCGTCGTCGAAGAATATCACGACGACCCTTTCCACCAATCCCTAATTAGTTAAGGCGAAAAAAACAATAAACAAACAGCACAACATTTTCATAGAGATAAGAAAAAAGCCTCAAGATAATTTCACCCAATTAGCGCAAGAAAAAAGGGTTAACAAGTAAAAAATCGAACAAAGTTGCAACCTTTTGGATAAAAGGGAGGAGCCCATGAAGAGCTGTATGGATATATTGATCAAGCTGAGGGTGTACGGCTTTATGAACCACCACGTTCATGTACCGCCGCCTCTCGAAGGCCGCTGCAAATAAAAATTCACACTGTTTTTTTAGTTTTCAGACCGGCAATCTTAACCGGAATAATAGGGTTAGTGAAGATTCTTGGCCGGAAAACTTACCGTTCGGATAGATTCCTTTGAGGAAAATGACAGAGGTAATGGCAACTTCAAGAAATTCAACGAGGATTTGGGCGATTTCAGCTGAAA